GAACCTACGTAGGAACGTAACCCAAAGCATATAGCATTACTAGATCTCACTTATAAAGGGTCGCCCACGCTGTTCATCGAAGCGTTCTCTCAATAAATCCCTTTATTGATGCGGTGTGTGAGAAGTGGCACCGTCTTATTGAAACTAAATGTTACCGACATCACGAGCTTCAGTTTCAGTTATCAAATAACGGTTACATTCTCACTGGTATCATGTTTACAGAAATATAGACCGATAATATCACCTGTATTTTGTGTGCTTTCAATTTATAAAATCGACGACGCCGAATCGAATCTCCACGGTGTACGCTCTCAGCTAAGGCGCTATATATTCCACAATGCGTGCTGGACGTGTTCTATTCGGTCGAATATGGTTCAATAAAGAAGGCTGGGTCTCAATATGGTAATGGTATGTACTGCGAATAGTATGCTTAGTAGGTCGATTATATTGACCATAAATTGAGCAAAGCTCGCACCACATTCTTTACAGAACGTGAATTTTCATAATAAAGTTGAATGATTTGTAAATGTTGTTAAGTGGTTTTTCCATGATGAAATGCCAAACACAAATAATATGAAATAATTTCAACTCTTGCATGGAAAATCATTACACTTCAACGATTTCGCCACTGGGTTAAGTACTAATATCAATAATTTCTGGTTCTTATTGACGTAGGCAAATTTATACGATTATCTGTGGTCATTTGGTATACAAATAATATACTTATAATTTAATATTCATTAATTATTACTAATTTGTATATTTGCCACCTTTAGAATAACTTAATATAATCAAGTTTTTAATTAGTTGCGAAAAATAAATCCGTTGTAATGCCTATCGATACCGTTATTTACATTAATTATATATACAAAAATCTGTATATATATTTATTAATATTATATAAAATATATAAAAGTACATATAGTACAACTATATTTTTTGATTCACCGCCTTGAAGAAAATCACATTTTCCTTAAAGCAAATGGGAAATTACAAAATCTCACACACTTTGCGTAGTCCCAATCAATAAAGAATATTACAAAAACAACATGAGTCAATTTGATAAATGGTATGCTTGCATTAGCATAGCACAAATGACAAATGACGCATCGAAATTATTTTACAATGACAACATACTTGTATGTTTACAGATGGCGCTGACTGGACCCAGCTTTACAGCTGGGAGAAACCGGCAATGAATATTGGAAAAAGTACCAAACGTGGGAAGTAGAAAAAATTTAGTTACCAACAGAGATGCACGTACGCTAGAGATTGGTATTAAAGATTCTAGTTATTTACAACTAGTATTCTAATTAACAGTAAAAGTAACCGCAGGCTGCGCATTTGTTCCATATATTTACCCAATGTCGTCATAATCCTTTTTCCTATGAAAGAGGGAACATTTTTCATTTAGGCCTGAAAATTAGCTTAGATTTCTTGGAAATTAATCAGAGTTAATACTATCTTACAGGGAAGCTTTATTTACGGAAATCTTCGTCATGCATATTTTTGGGCCACCGAATCACTGTAGTGTTTTTCAAGTAGAGGTGGCTGCTATTATGATGGTGCTACGGAGTGTGGGGACATTTTTCTTTTAGAACTGGAAAGTAGCTTAGTTTTCTCGGAAATTAATCACCGGATCACTGTAGTGTTTTCCAGGTAGAATTGGCTGCTGTTATGATGACAAGAAGTGTCTGTCCTCACTATCAATAGCATCAAGCTACTTCATTGTCCGGCTCGTGTATAGGACCGGTCATAGCGAAAACACTCTAAAGTGCTAAGCCGATGAGCTTTGCAAGTGAGGATACTCTTGTTACGATTACATTGGAAACGAGTCTCCTTTGTCATGTTGCGTTCTACTCCTTGATCACAAAAGGCATTGGTCGATTCGGTCCACTGAACTACTTGCTCTTAGACTCGAGACGACTTGTAAACTAACTTATTTGATTTGCTCCTGGTCAAAAAAAAAAAAAAAAAAAAAAAAAAAAAAAAAAAAAAAAAAAAAAAAAAAAAAAAAAAAAAAAAAAAAAAAAAAAAAAAAAAAAACACACAGAAAGGCAGAAAAGCAGAGTTTGTTTGGAAGGTTTTAGGAATGATATTCAGCAGCAGATGGATTCCAAACCAAACCACATAGGGGGTTGGAACCCTTTGAAACGACGGAAGCGGTTGCAAACCTCCAGAAATTTATTTAAGCGAACTTAACTTTATTCTATACGATGGTATATAACCCAGTCAGGCTGTAAACTATCTTATATGACTTTCACTTAGTCGAAAAAAAGAAGGCAGAGTTTCTTTGAACGCTCTTAAGAATAATAATCCCTACCAAATACTTTTGAAATATTTTTGAAACATGGGAGATGCTTGGAAACCTTTTCTGACCCTTCTGAGATTGGTTGAAGATTAGATCATCGAGAGACAGGTTTTGAACTGGATCTTGAATTTAGTCTACAAAAAAAAGCGGATCTAAAATTGAAACAATTATTTGATACATTTTAAACAGTGTTTAGGAACTGTGACTCTAATAAATGACCCAGAAGGGTAAAAAATCTGTTTACAAACTACTTACTGCTATTCTTATTGGGCATATTTTTATTTCTCGCGTCAATGGTGAATCAAAATGTGCTTATAACCTAAAAGTTTGTTTAACTCCAGTATATGGTATCTTGAATTAAGTCTTTCTAAATAGTGAACATTGTAATGTTGAATTTGCTGGAGTAAGGCTTAGGGCTCATACTATGATACCATATATCTAGGTAGAAAACTGTGAAGTTAGGGATCTTGGATTAATGATGAACAAGAAGATGATTTTGGCTTAAAATTTTACTCAATCTATCTGGGGCCAAATTTTTTTACATAGTGAGCTTTGAGATGTAAAATTCATTGGAGCAAGCCTAAGGCCTCATTTTATGATATACCTACGTCGAAATCTATGACGTCAGGGTGTAAACCCGTTCAGTTGCTTAGGAGTTTTTAGAGTTTTAAACTTCTCGTGCAGAAATACAGGTTTGTCGACTTTTTTATGTAGTATATAAGGTCAAGAAAGTACTTATATAGATGAAAATTCTGCTCATGCTTTTACGCTTTGAAAGATGTAAATATCGAGCTGCTGAAGTTGTTAGGTTTTATGAGAAAACGTGAGGTTGGTGGACTGATATTACCTATTTTTTTAACCCATATATTATTGAGACAAAGCATGACTCCAGTTGGATAATAGCAGCGACCTGCTGACATGTAACAGTTTTCGCTTTTATGTTATGCCAAGTGAATTTTAAACCTTCGTCCCAGAATTTTGTATTTACAGTCTTTTTTTTTTACAGTTTTGAAGTAAAGATATGAGTGAATTGGCGCCCTCAGAGCGATAGCAAAGGATCTCGGCATGTGTCGAAATCGAAAAAACGAAAGCTCGCTGGAAGCACTGAAGCCAACCCAACCGAGGCGTACAACGAGTCTATGAAAAATCGTATTAATATTATTATTATTATTAATTAATTTCAAAGGTGAACGTAAACATTATATTAAACTCATATACATATATATATTTTTGTTTTTGTTTTTGACGGGTTTATATTTTGCTACGCTTAGTTATTAAATATTTCATATTAATTTGGCGATGTAAGTACACAATTAATGTGATACCAGGAAAAATTATTACAAACCGTTATTGTAACCACTTGAACTTTATGATATTATTTTATGGACTCATTCTTATTTCGAATGAAAAATTTTTTCTTTTCATAGCGTTCAACTATTTTTAATTAAAAAGTACAACATTAAAGTTTAAATATTTCTCCTTTTTTGTTGTTGTGAAAGTTATGGAATTTACACCGCAGAGTAAATACTAACGAGTATGCGTCTGATACACTGTCAGAATATTACAATCATGTTGTTTGGAGTTTATCTGAAGGAGCGCTGATAAACTTCAATTGGTATGCGCGCTATGAATAACACTGAGATATCGGCGCCGCTTACTCGCGTCAAAGGCAAACCAAGCGCCAACGTGTAAATGGAGCGGCAAAGTAACCAAAAATACTTCCGTAAAAGAAATATTAATTTTTCATTTCACACTCATTTTAATTTCACACTTTGCTATGTTTGCGCTGATATTACGCGCTTGATTGCGATGATTGAAAATTCGTCTCCCAGCTGATAACGTCTGGGGAAAATGCCTAGCAACGTTTACGCTGGTTAAAAATAAACTACATATTTACAAGCGCGCTGATTAATTTGCATTTTTTTCGCAAAGGCGAGTGTTAGTATTTGTCGCCGCCGGCACCAACACCAAATGCTTATCAAAAAACTTGTTCGACAACGCGCTACAGCGGGGAAAACAGTTCCTGTGTTTACCCGTCAAAGAGCGCGCGATAACGCGACGCAGTAATAGCACGAGGCAAAGCTTGAGCGCGCGGGAGCGCTAGCACTAGCATGACACCTACAATAATGAATAATTAAAATGCTGCTGCTTGGTAAGCTGCAGCTGGGAGTGCTGCTAAATTAAGTTAAGTTAATAGTGACGCGTGATGACTGTTGCCCTTCGCGCATGACAAGTTTAACAGCGCATAACTCAGCGCGGCGCGCAAACAGAGACAGTGTGGAGCGACGCGCTCTCTTGCAGACAAACTCATTTTCGTTAAGCGATCCGGCGCTCGCAAGCGCAAACGCGCAAAGTTGCAATTCGCCGTTGTAAGCGACAGCGCAGCTTACAGCGCTAGACTTGCGCGCGTCGTTGCCAGCAGTGACGCAAGCTACGCGCGCGCCGGTATCTTTGCCGTGTGCCGATCGCGATTACAGTTTGACACAGTAAAAATGGCAAGTAAAAACAAAAAACAATCACAACAACATAAAGGCAATCGACAGATAAGTAGCTGAAAACGCCTAAGAGACGAAAAGCAGCAAAACAAGTATGAACAACAAAAAAATTGGCAGCAAGCATGCGACGAACGGTTTGCCTCAAATACAACGAACCTGCTTTAAGCGAAACTTAGTTGCCTGTTAAACGGCCACAAGCGCGGTTCGCGGGTCAATATAAAAAATAATATAAATCAAAAATTAACTGAAAATTAAAATTCAAAAAGTAAGCGAAACAGAAAAGACAATAACTGTCACATTAAAAGTGTAATGAAAAGGAGTTTTTGTGTACATACAAAGAAAATAAATTTGAAAAAATAAAATATTAAAGGTAATAATTACAAGTTATAAAAAGTTTTGAAAAAAACAAATCTTAGAGTTAGTAATAACAAAACAAGAAAAAGTTTAGAAAAAATAAAATTTTAATTAATTAATTAAATTCTTTTAAAACTGAATTTAAGCTACGAAAACTTAAAAAAATATTTTTTTGAAAAATATAAAAAAAACATAGTTTCCGAAATATTATTTTGCAAATAAAAAAAATTAATAGACTTGTAAATAAAGAAACAAAACCCTATATAAGTGTTCGTGTATAAAATGTACCAAAATATATATAAACTATAGTCAAGTTTAAAAATCTTAGTTTGAAAATTATTAAGCTTTCAAAACATTTAAAGCTTAAAACAAATTTTCAAAAAATAAGTTTAAAAGTGAAAAAGGGTGTAATAATTTTCACAAATGGATAATATTGAAACCAAAAATTTA